TACCTATACATTTGGACACCTGCAGCTTCGCTGCGGGTCTTAGCTGGTTAAATGTATTGAACGCCGTCAACCAATCACCTATATAATATTAACGAACCGTATAAGCGATTTTAACGAGCAACTCATTGCAAATACGATCTCACCTATCATTTATTATAGCGGTGCACTCCGACCGAGCAAGATGTGCTGGATAGTTATTTTCTTTTTGGACAGTCGTGCGCTCATAAATAATTACATTATTTAATAAGTAGGTATGTTTCGTATTGTAATACATCTATAGGACGTCTACTTTTAAGAGGTAAATTTTATTTTCCCTGCGCCCATAGTGATTATCTTAAACACACTGAGATCGATGGAATCGATGCGTTAACGGTTAACAGGGGTCTCCAACCTAAGGCCCGCCAAGCTAATTAATGTTTTGAAAATCATATTTAAGTTTTCGTCGTTTTTAAATTCTAATTAAACAAATTGAATTTATTATTTTTTCTTTCGGCACTTTTCATAAGTTATGAATCATAACAACATATAATAGTCATACATATATTATTTACTGACACTATCTAAAAATAATAGAAAAACTCGTCAATCAAATACTTATCTAACTTACATTGTTCTCGGAAGTTACACAATGGTCAAATAAGATACGATCGACTTTTTCCGCTATAATAATAATGCTATCGAAGGTATGATCGACGGGTTTTTCTAACTGTGCAAGTCTACTATAATATATTTTGCTGTTCTAGTACTCACTTATTTTAAAGAGCAGTTCCAGACCCAGTTTAGATATTTCAAACGTGTAGAAGACCGTTTTTTTAATTTTCGAAAATCTTTTTTCAATAAAATTCTAAATTTTACCGACAGAGCTTCAGATTGAAGTTACAGAGCTAATATCAAACACATATTTTAAAGTCTTAAAGACTATTTCGAAGAAAATAGTCTCCAACAATTTTACACAATATAGCCAGAGGAATCATTTCCAAATCTCAAAAAACAAGAGCGTGAAATGATGTCAATATTTAGCTCAACATAGTTATGTGAGAAGATATTTTCGAAAGTGAAATACGTCAAATCCAAGTACAGAGCCAACTTAAGTGACGAACATTTACAAGCGACGCTGCTAATTCAAACCAAAATTTTTCGAAATAAATCTTATCTATAATTCAATTGCATAACCTATCTATTCCTCTAAAAATGTTGGCCCTCGATGGCAAAGCGTATTTGAAATTTGGCCAAAAGGTTGGAGACCTCCGTTAACCAATGCGTATATGAATAACATGTGTTCCTGAAATAATTATTTCGATGATGCATGCTATGCATGGTATATCCAGTATAGTATGGTACAATATATTGTGCTCAATTTTTGTGAGTTCATCTTCCACAATAATCGTATCATTTTATATCGTACCAGGTGAAATGACAGTGCATTTGAATTTTTCTTTTTTTTAATGCTTTCTCTATGCATAGTAATATAGATGCCCACTTTTTAATCGGCGGTAAATAATTGTACTACTGTTGTGGATAAATTGAATAGTAAACAAAGTCATAACTATAAGATCTCAGACATCCACGATACTGGATAAACCTTAACTGGTTTTGTTGATCTGAATGCAAAATACATCGAGACGGTTTCCAATCGTACATATTATAATATAGGTGTATATAATTACGCATGATGGGAGTTTATGATGGCTATCGGAATGATAATGTCTAACAATAATGTCTTCGAGACAGATTATTAAATGTCTCACGTGTTTATTATAACACTGTTGTTTTAATTTGCACAAAAAAAGTCTTCTGAGCCCTATTGCACAGAATATAATATTAAATAATTTATAATATCGTTATCGAATCGTTTGATAACGTCACAACGATATTTCGACTTCATTTTGGGTGAAAATGGTCTGCAAACCACACTCGACACCGACGATAAAGTTTCAACTACCGACTCTAAATAAGCAAAATTCTGATATCGAATGTAAAGCTCGAATTAAAACTTGCACTACGCTTGCGAATCAAATTTAAATTAATGCGGATTTCTACCGATCACACGGTGAACCTACGCAATTACTTTGACGGCTTCATCAGCCAATTGGACAATAATAATAATATAATCGTAACGGTACCGGTAATTGTAATGGAAAAAAATCCAACGATACCGATCATTTAATTAAGTTTAAATATTATATAGGAATATAATACAACAGTTTTTTGACAGATTGAAACTGAAATCGATTCTATGATTTATATTAAAACGTATAGCTATAATTGGCGAATGTGTTCTTATTTTTTGTCTCTGAAACTCGGTTATTATCTTTGATTTGTTACGCTCAGACGGATTGTAACTGGAATATTATAATTTTTATTACCGTTGTGACAGAACCGGCCTTAACAGTTGTAATTCCAAAGGTTAAACGAATATGGATATGCCCGATTAATTTGGTATACGTTCTGATTAAACGTCTCTCCGCTTGGTAAATCATGATGTATAATAATAATATGTAAGTCTCAATTTTCTTGTTGGTTGTCTCGTTGGTCCAACTGCCCTAACTTAATCATATTTTTTAAAATACAAATATGTAGCAACAAATTGTATTTTTTGGTCCAAAATACAATCGCCGTTTCTATTCAAACAAAGAACATTGCATAAATTGTTAGTAAAAACAAATTATAATTATTATTAATTAACCACAATTTAAATTTCTATTATTATTTTGGTCTAAATACTCTGAAAAAGTATCAAAGACAAAAGTCAAAGTTCTTAATTACTTAATAATTCAATGAGCGCACTATGCATCTAACGATGACTCAATATATATTAAAGAGGGCTGACATAATTATTTGTAGATAATGAGATAAGCATGCTTATTTAAAAATAATTTTTTGGTTTATTTGATGTTTATTAAAACAGCGTCATCGTTCCGAAATGTATTAAAACATTTATAACACTTAAATATTTGTTGAATTGTGTTTGTAATAAATTATAAATCAGTCCTGATTTAGTGCGTTCATTTATAATTTTATAATGTACTAAATTTTATATGAGGTACATGTTTTATTGGTCTTATATATTATACGACACTGAGGTAGTTGGTTACTACCTACGTCCTACTGTAATATAATTAATTACATAGATACCTACTATACGGGATATGTCATTGTCGTAAAGTCACATACAATCATACTTATGTCATTTTATATATATTCGTCCTAAATAGCTAATCATCCGATGAAGTAAACAAAATAACTAGTTAAAATATTACTATTATCGTTCGACAAATTAAAGTAACGTCATCTAACAAATTTTCTTTACATAATCATAATATTATAACCGATCTCTCGAAGAGGCAAGGGAAAAAAAATTAGAAATACAGTGATCGTGCCGGGATAAGGTTAGTGATGGTGCTTTTACTTTCGTTCTTTCGAATCACCCCGAAAAACTCATACCATATACTATTGAATATTGCAGAAGTCGACAAGCCACGACCAGTAGCCCAACAACAAGTTTTACTGACCCACTTACTTCAGTGAATAATCCTAAAATGAACTGATCAAATTATTTTATTCATTTTTAATGAAGTATAATACATGTTATTACATTCAATATTAACAAGGCTACAGTACCTACATTTTTTTATATTCAAGGGAAATACACTACAATACATTTTAATTACTCTTTACAATTCTCTAAACAATGGCGTTCCAGAGAAGATAATAACTTATTTAATATCATATCTATAAATATTAAAAATTTTAACAGATATTTTTTTGCGCTTGGTAAAACTTTTTTTTAAGCGATTTTGAGCTTTGTTTATTGTCATAGAAACACAAATCAGCAATGAAAACATATTTTCTTTTTATCTTTTGTCTAAATAACTGTAGTCTTATACTTTAAAACCTAGCATGAAACAACTAGCTCTGAACCGTTGAGTACAAATATCTCACTAAGCAATATTAAAGTCTTTCTTGTTACTTTTTGTAATTATTAGACAAATATTGTTCAAATAAATCATTTTTATTATTAATTCTTCAATGGTCATTAAAATTTGTTTATTTTTTAATTTAGCTGCAATCCCTTTCCCTATCTATTGTATAGAGGAGACGATATAAAATATTTTGACTCTTATGGTTAGGCTAACCTTAGAAAGATTGAGAACCACTAGAATAAAGGAACTGTGACGAGATTATTTGAACAAAAACTAGTGAAAAACTTTATTTTATCGACCAATTTATCGAAGTACCAGCAACACAATTTACGGTATCTTAAATATTTTATTTAGTATTCGAAAAATCTATTTATAATTCTTAGTTCATTGAATTCTTAACAAAATGGAGCATACTACTAGATAGTTTTCCACTGCATTATACCAAAAACATATCTATGATTCCTCAATCTTTCTTGCAGGAGAAAAATATCTAATAGCAACATTGTATTAGTTATGACTTATGAGTTAGCTTTGAAACTACTCATCCAGTCGGACTTTTAAATTATTTTAGGCATAGATTTTTTTACCTGTTTTAATTCCTGTTCAAGGAATCTTAAAAGCTAAATTAATAGCAATGTATATGATACATATATAATAAATAATAATACACTAGAGGCACCATCTGTCCACACCATATGTCCAGTAAAATAAAATTTAAAAAAAATGTTGAATAGATTATCAGTTATATAAAATTATAAATTATAAACGATATGATTATTTATCATGAAATCCTATTATCGAATAGTTTCTTCAATCAAGCCTATCAAACCTACCTATTTATACTTCCGTCTATTATGTTTATTGTAGATATATTTTATGCAGATTGTACAAATTATAAATATATATTATATATAACAAAAAGAAAATTACTTTTTATATTATTTAACACAAAGTGTGTTTTTAATGGTAAGTCTATACCAAGCCATCGGATAAAAAAATTTGGAGATCCCTGTTATAATGAAACACACTTTCTACGACTTCCACGATCGCGTATCCTAAAATCATTTTGTTTTGCAGCCTACAAGTGTCACGGGGGCTGGAAAGAGAACGGTACGATGCACCAGATAATCAGCAGCGACTTGCCGTCGGCAGCCGGCTGGAAGAAGTTGTACTGTCTTGCGTACGTCAAATGGCCTCCGGATCGATTGCAGGTGTCCGTGTACGCGGATAACTGCAACCCCAACAACAACCGAACTGCGGCCACTGGGTCTGACGAAGGGCTCGTCTTGTCATTTAACATTTCGCTATCGCCATCCGGTAAGTCCGGTTTATGTATAACATTATTATATAATGCCACGTCATAACCGTCCAGTGTTCCACATAACGTTCTAGAAAAACGTTATAAGATCGATCTAAAAATGATATTTCTAAAAATATACTTTTACCATTATCACTAATATACTAAAAATGTGACAGCCACATTACCGTATCCTAAATGGTATGTGGCCTGTCTCGCAACTCGGTGTAATCGGTCTTATTAGTCGCTATTATCAATCGCTTTTTTAAATCATTTTTTAAACGGTGCCTCGCACGACTGCGTGAATTTACCTATTTTACCCGAAAATAACTCAATACGATTGAGCATCAACTGAATAAATGTAAATGCATAATTTTCCTTCTCGGTACTTAACATTTGGGAAAAATTGAAATGGATAATGAAATCACTAGTTGGCATGGTGATCGTGTCTTACAAGCGTGGTTATGCGTGGTCATTATCGATGAATTTTATTCTGAATTCAAAATAAGCGAGATACAAATTGCATTAAAAACATCACCATATTATATTAAATACAAAATTTTGTCTTGCATAGTTTTGCATATATTAGACATTATAGTATCATTAGTAGGTCATATAAATGCAAACAATTTTTTTCCATTGTATACTTCAAGAAAAATTATGGCTTTGGCATTTTACACTAAAATATAATATTTTTATCATAATATTCTAATATATTATTACGAACAATTTTAAGTTCCGTTCACATTTTGCATACTTTTTTTTATGAAGGCTATATGTTGGGTTTTTTCGTATTATATATTTCAATTTTTTTAATCATTTTTTTAAGAGTTTACGCAAACGTCTATTAATGTTATCCGCAGTAGGTATACCTTTCAAGGCATAAATCATATAATTGGGCAATGAATTGATTTGATTAAATTTTTTATGCCAATTTTAGAACTTTGGTATACATTTACCTATTTTCTAGGGCAATATTGAGTGCATGTAGCATATCTCATGGTTTTTTTTTCGGAGCCGAATACACCACAGTACCTATAATACCTATTATCATCAGCGGTGTATATTCTCGTGATGTCCGTCGGCTACAATAATTTAATAAGCGTCGTTTCTTAACCGCACGTATCCTCGGAAATAGTAGAGGACGAAAAAAGAATCCATGACCGTTTTAGTACAGAAGAGGTGCCTAACTATACGTCGTCCGTATGATATACCATATATACCGCAAAAGCCCGCGAGTACGAATGGCGAATTTTTGCTGGACCCGCCGACCCATATTATCCCGTTTTAAACTCCTAAGCCGATTATTCTCGTTTCTCGCCGTATGAATATATATATATATATTATTACTTAGGCCACTCCGAGTGTAATAACCTGCGAGAGACGTTCTTTTTTTCTCGTTTTTTTCTAGTCTCAACTTTTTTCTCTTTTTCATACTTTTTTATTATTATTATTTCTATCGCCTTTTATACAGTCGCCTCAGACCGCCACACGCACACCGCGGGTATGACATAATATATAATACATGGTATGATATTATTACGACTTACAATGTGATTTTCCATAACGTTAAAAACACTATCGCGACGGTCCTATATTCACCCGGTATCCGTTTACCCAAAAAATGTGATAGAAAAAATTGTATTCGTCTTGCCCAGGTCGTAAAATTCTCGCTCGATTTAACTTCGCCGCTGGATGTAGAAAAAAGTCCTAGTGGTAAATCCCTCTTTGTGAATAGCGAAATACGCGCTGCACCGTCGTTATAATAATATACGCATGGCACGAACTATTGACGACAAAAATTCAATACATTATGATTGTTATGTGTGTTGTGTAATACTATATTATTATTAAATTTATACAGCGTAATGCACAAACTATCGCGTTTGGTATCGGTTGAAATTTTGAAATTGCAACGACGAAAATGTATAAGATGTACGTTACTGTAATATTTTATTATTATTCGCGGTGGTCAATGATATTGATATACCATGGCAAATATTCCGTACTGATATCTATTCTATTTTATAATGATCTATTGATCCAACTTCTGTCGATCTTATAATAGGTTCGTGAACATTAATATTTGTATCCGATAAATTCATTAGTTTTGAAAAAAATTCAATTACTTGAAATGAATCTAGAGAATCCGGTATAGGAACAGGGAGCAGAAGCCAAATAAAATAAAATAAAATTCAGTTTCTATTGGGTGTATCCAAAATTACGGAATGTGGACATTTTTTTAATTGCATTCATATGTATAATACCTATAATGGTTGATTAAGTTGATATTTTTTAATACCGATTTGATATCGATGTCGACTATAATACTGATACAAGGCATTATTACATTACTATAGTTATGAACTGTCCGCCGTTCTAAGGCAGAACCAACAAAAAGTAGATAATATTATATAGGAATAATCATAGTTTACAAATAATGATACAATAGAGCAGTGGTTAACAAACTTTTTTTGGCTTGGGGCGCTCTTTTTTGAGAGCTTAATAATAAGTTTTTTTTTTGTGTATAAATGGTATTTTCAATTTATCCTGCAGATGAGGTAAAAGGATGCATCAAAATATCAAATCGTTCCTTATTAAATAGCCTCAAATAAAGAAATTACATCTTAAAACTAATATGGCAGTTGAACTTATGTTTGTAGCTTATATACTCAAAAACTACATAACCGGATTCCTGAAAGTCTCAAATTGTTCTTTATTGTGATATCAGAAAATATAGAAAGTAGTTTGAACCTCGTTTATTCAAACCATGTGCTATATCCAATCTGCCACGGACGAATTGTTTGTCTCGATCAAATTAGTTCACAAAGCGGGGTAGAACGAAGCCGATTGGCCAGTGAACTTGGGTACATATCAAAACCAAGATACATCAGCTCACGAAAAAATAATATTTTTTTATTAATTTAAATGGTTGCTATTGGTTACATACTATATGTTACTATTATAATTAGTAGAAGTAAGGCATAATTTACAGCTCTTACTGATATGTTTTAAAAGAAAACAAATCTTCGGCACGGACAACGACAGAGGGACAGCTACTATATTATATTATATAATTATAATTTTAGCAGTGCTTATGATGGATAACATGACGCATATATTAAAATGTCTTAAAATGCATGCTACAACTTTGGGTAACTGTATTATTATTTTATTAAAATTTTTATTGTTTTGATATTTCAGTCGAGAAGCCGTGTAACGAGGTCAATGAGTCGACGGTCGTCGGGGCTACCTTGACCATGATAGTGGTCGCAGTTGGTCTACTCTTCCTGCGGCAATCGGCGGCCAGATGATTTTCGTATTAAGTCACGCAAATTCTCAAAGCCGTAATGCCGCTACCGCCGAAAATAATATTGTGTGTATACGTCATTGTTTCGTTGTTTCCTTATAGCAAATGCATTTTGACAAAACTTTATTTTTTTTCTACATAGTGTAAATAATATTATTATACTAACACACACACACACACACACACACACACACACACACACACACACACACACACACACACATACACACATACACACACAAATGTGAGCGCGCGAGCGATTATCTTTATTATGGTTCTTGAAGTGTATATAGAGACGGATGAAAACGAAACATATTTTGTGTCGCTATTTGAGATGATATTTTGAAAAAAAAAAAGATTTACGTTGTAATGATGTTATGATCGCCCGCTGTTTGTTTTATTAAATAATAATATATACGTATAATAATATTATGATGATGTATAGCGAATAGTGTATACGTATACAAGACTGATCGCCGTTTTTCATACCTTTCCGTGGTCGCGCTTTGTTCAGTTGGAATTTGTGGGTTTGTGGTGGTGAGGTAGTTGGTGGTTGGGGATGTGGAGAAACGGAGGGCGCGTGATATCCTGCACTCGGCGCTGTTTCACTCGACGGTCATCAAGTGCCACGTAGTTCTAATGAAAAAAAAAAAAAAAAAATGCTGCAAGAGACCATCGTATATATTATATTATCAGTGCTAAATAGTGTCGAAAGTCATAATATAGATAAAGGTACTGAACAGCTCTCCGTTATCGCGGACACGACGATGATGTTATGATATGGTCCACGACAGGAGTGTAAAAAGGGCCGACGACGACGAGGGCGCACTCGAACCCGGCACGCATTATATTATAATGATATATGGAAATGATCGAGGGGAGGGGGTGAGGGAAGAATAGAAGAATAAAAAAAAATCAGTTTTCGAGTGCCAATCTTTTTTATCCCCCGCGCAGTTATAATAATAGTACTACGTATATAGATCGTCGTCGATGAAAATGATTTCGAGAATTCGCATTCGTCGGCGGAAACGGATACGGAGCGCGCGTGACGTACTGCTGCGATAATTTCCGACCGGGAAACTCTGTAGGAGAAAAAGGTTACGTGGTTGCGTCCTGCCACTTGTTCGACGCGAGTCGAGTTTGAAACACTCTATTATTACTGTATAACTTACTATTAAATAGGCAATTATTAAAATACAATATAATATATATTTAATATAGTATTAAATATAAGAAACGCGTAAATTAATGGTTTTTGTTTGTTTTGTTTTCTATTCGTCTCGAGAAAAATGTGTGATGGAAACGCGGGCAATAATATTTTTGTAGATAATATAAAACAATATAATAAGTTATGATGTACCTATACGAGTGTAATAATCATAACAATTATGTTATGTGTTAAAAAAAAACCTAGTGATAATTTATTGAACTCGTGTATACACGTATTATGTTATATTATTATTATTAAAACACGACGTTATTGTGATGCTTCTATTACTGTACGTCTGCGATGACTTAGTCTGTATCGTCTCTCCTACGTACATAATAAAATATAATAATATGTCGTTTATATATTATTGTAGGTACTATTTAGTATTTATTACCTATGCCCGATGAAATTTATAAACACAACGTGTTTTAATGATAATGATAATAACATGATATGGTGTTCACTAATATAGCAATAATGTTGTAATTCGTCGTGATTTTGTTAATTTTCGTATCGTTTTAAAACGAAATTAAAATAATATATAAATGTACCTATAACAGTGTAATATCGCAGCGCGTTATTATTTTTATTATTATTATTATTATTAATATTATTATTATTATGTACAGTAGAAGAATTATAACTTAATACTTATACTCGGGAAAGCTCACCCTGGGTCGGCGAGGTTATCGTGTTTTTTTTTTTTTTTTGTTTTGTTTTGAACCAAAAGAGTCTTAGACTCTATTCAGACTCAAAAATCAGCCGGTATGATTTAATATATTATTTCGAATATTAATTTTGTGTTGGTTCAATATTTACGACCCGATAATTCTTACTCGAAATCCACACATTAGTATCACAATATAATCTCTACTCGACAAACAAGCGCAGCGTAAATTTAAGTACCTCCATCACCGTAACAATTATGTTATAATTTTTTGTTTTCACTTCTCATATTTAAATGGTAATTCTTCGTCGGCACTCAATTTTATTACGTTTCGTATCAATCAATGATTACATAATATTTTAATAATATATACGTCCTAATCGAACGGGCAAACAAACTCTGTCGTTGTGCGCGTAATAATATTATATGTTTACAACGTTTTAGTGTGGTAATATTACATTAATTCATATATTATACATATTATATTAGGCAAATTATAAGTAGGTACGCCACCTCTTATATCTAAAAATAAACCCGATATTATTCTCTAAACGGTGATCGTAATTTTTCGGAAATAAGCTATTTTTTTTTCGTTTCGCTCACTCGGTGATGTGGACCTCTACATCAATATAGTCTAGCTCCTTCAAATCGTTATTATAATAATCTAATATAATTTTTTATTAATAATATTGTAATACGCGTGATTTGACTACCTGCGAGATCGCATACACTGGTGCAGCGTACGCCTACACAGTAGATGATACCCGTACCCACTGCACGGGAGTTAACGATAAATACAATTAATATTATGATGTTTATTTTTCAAATATTATGAGGGGCAAATCGACTGATTGTGATAATAGTTTTACGTTTATATGAAAAAAAAAAATTATAATAAATAAATGAATACTTAATAATAATAATAATGATTTTGATTCGTATGGATTTAAAATGAATTTATAAGCTAGTTGACGGCTGAGAGTAATTGAATTGTACAAATTTCGCAATGAACTTGTGATGTTCTTTTTTGTTCGAAAAAATTTTAATACTTTTTTTTTTTTTACAAAAATGTATTATGTTAGACCAAATCATGTTTAGATTACGTAATTAGACGATAAGGAAAATGACGTACAACATAGGTTTAGTATATTTGTTATTGTAATATTATTTGATTTTCCTTTTTTTTTAATTTGTATAATTTTATGAATAGTAATAATTGGAATTTAGGTGCCTTGATTAGCTCGTTGTTAGAATCTTCTTATCTATTTGAGAGTACAAAATACTGATTTAAAAAACGCACAGTTTCCGCTGAGCACGCACACAGTGGTTATATATTTTAATATGCTTGTGTACGTGTGAGCGAGTGTGCTTCTATATTTATACATACTATGTTTGTTAGTCTTATTGCTTTATATAAAACAATATGTACACGAAACGAAAATGTTGTGAATTCTAAACGAAAAGATAAATAGGTACTATAATATGTATATTATTATGAACTATATTATAATATATTATTTTCGTCTGACCGCGATGGGCTCGACGAAACGTCGTCGAGATTACAGACACCGTTCTTTCCACCTTCGATTCTCTTCTTTAATATTGTTGTCATGAATACACAACTGCAGAATATTGTTGTAATGGCGTGTCAACAATAATCGTTATAAAATACCTAAATGTAGTAAATAATATTAAATTCCGTAGTTCTAACTGACACGTTCGTGATGTATACTTTCGAAAGTCGATTTAATTTTTACAATACTAATAATAGTAAATACGCATACCGCAAATAAATACAATATCTCGCTTTAAAATAAAACGGCTCGGGGCCAATTCAAAGCGTATATATTCTATTTTCAGCATAATATTATTGTACACTGGAAACGTAATGCGTACAATAATATTGGTATTTTTTCTTGGTTACTGTATTGTTTTATTCCAAGCACAAAGATAATTAAAAAATCATAACTGCAACGTTGCGACACACTCGAGTACACCGCATGTTACATGCATTATTATATATATATACCTAGTTAAATAATATATATTTAAGTCACAGTTAATAATTAATAACAATTTGTTACCGATGTTTTTATTAATTTGTTCGTTTTTTTTTTTTTTTTTGTCATTGTTGAACTATTTTAGAATTAATCTGTATCGTTTAAACGACTACCGGATATTATATACAATTGAAAAGTAGATTAAATTATTATTATTATTATTATTATTATTGTAACACGTTTTTAATTTTCTTGTAGCTGAATTAATAAAGACTTTAGTTCAATATTAAACATATTTATGTTGGCAACTACATAATAATATTATATGGTATAATGTTATTTAAGTCTGTCGTCAGACAAATTCTGACCTAAATAAATTAAGATACCTCGCTGTGTCTTGATTCTTTCCATTGGCCTCCCACAAAGGTTATTTAGCGTGTCTGCAGTTTAAGAATACACAATATATACAAACAAGGTTGTTCTTCCGTGTATAAAAATATAATTGTATTTTAAAGCACTACAGTTTAAGGCAAGGGCGTTTTCAAGTTGTGGCAATTTTTTTTCAAACTTTTTACCTGAAAAATATGAAAAGTATTCAAAATATTTGTATTACTCATTATTATTCGTTACACAGTACTAAACGCATCAGTATACTACTATAACTTCGTTTAAATATTCAGTAGAATTTCAGTTTAAGTAGTTAAGTAGGTACGACATCATTTCTTTTACTGAATTATCTATTTACTATATGTATATCTTTATATGGTATATTTACCTCTTGTATTGTGCTATGTGATACGGTATTATTTAATATTGTATAATAATAATAATAATACCTATAATAATAGGTAGTTATTAATTATTATTTGTTATGAACAATGTGTAAATATTTGTAATATTTTACACATGTGCACATATTTACATATTTAGCCGGAAACTAATCAAATTAAAGATGATACAAACAAAAAAATTGATCATTCATACGAAGTGGCGCCGCCGCATACAAAAATGCACAGAAGACGCCAAGTGACAACACTATTTTTTCAACACTTTAATATTATTTATACAAAAAGTGACACGGAATTATGTATAGGCAAGTTTGATACATCACCGTCGTTTATTTGAAATAATTTATTTCGTGTTTATTAATTGTAATACCTATGATTCATATAATACATTACCGTTTTTTATTTTTATGTTTGATTCCTACAACACTTGTAGTATAAATATATATGTAATGTAATAATAATCCATTTTATTGAATACAAAATAAATGTAGTACAAACGTATATTAGTTTAATGAATACCAACGTTAGATTTAGATAAACATTTACTAGGACCCTGAGCATGTATGTTTAATTAACACAAATTATACTAATAATATTAGTATAAATTAGTATTATTTTATTAATTTTAACTCGATTCTAACAAATAAAAATATATTTTATCTAAATGTCAAACAATCTATTTAACTAATTTATTAACATGGAGTTTAATAATTAATTGTCACATAACCCCGATTAACCATAACATGAACATAATATATAGCGACATAGTGTGTAATTGTGAACCTATTCGATCACTGATCACGTCTGTCCTCATCACAATTTTAATGATTATTGATAATCATATATTATCAGTTGTATATATTATATAATAAATTAAGTCGAGACATAAATTATAATATTATTTTTTTTTATTATTTTATTAAAAATATTTATTTCAAAAAAACAAATTATAGAGTAACAATATATTAATGAACTTACACTTTTGAGCAACGCGTCGTGAAAGAATCTGCTCACGATTGTTAAATATCTTTGAATATGATTTTACAGATGGGACTTTTAAAATGTGAAACTCATTACATTATTTATATTGTATTATTCCCTTATCGGCTGCCCGCTAATCTCGTGGTTATCTACAATGGCGTCTCGAACACAATTTGTTACAATATAGTTTATTTACTAAATTAAAAAGAGCCGATTAATATAGATATCACTACTTTCATAGTACTTTGATACGCATTAAGTTTTGGGAGGGAATCTGGGTTCACGGGCTTACTCAACAAATTACAATAAATTACGATAAAACCTGCGTATATAAAATTGAAAACTATATGTTGGCTGAATATAAATTTGTGTAGCCGTGCAGGTATATATATATAATATATATAATTACATTAATTGGTAGACTGCTGGCTATTAATATTATTATTATTATTATTATTATTATTATAGTGAGCTACTGGTCAATATATAATATTGTTTTGCACATTTCGATCTTATTCGTACTTTTTAAATGTTTAATCTAATAGAATTACTTTTATTTATTTCGTAATTTTTAAACATTTAATTGTTTTGATTGTATCCAATCTAATTTTAATCTTTTAAATCTAATTTTTTTCTCGACTTAAAATATCCAACACAGTAAGAATAGTGATAATGTTCTGTCAAAACAATCAAGAAGTGGCTGCAGGTCGTATTCTATATAGTTGAATATAGTTAGGCTATATTTTACTTGAGTTATTATTACTCGAGTTAAGTAACTTAACGTAGTTCAAATTAGTTATAAAACGATAAGTGGGCCTCGGATGGTTTCGACAAGGAACACTTGATCTGTTTCAAAAGCAACTTTTAGTTAAATAATTAATTTGTTAATCGCATTAACTGCGATTGTAACTTTGAAAAATACAAATGTATAAAAACTAAAATGTATTGGAGTAATGCACTAATAGCTAGTAAAAGGCTTATACTGGTGTAAGGCCCGTGAGCTCATTATGTGTTTAAAATTTGTAAAGGATTAAATTCCTTAAAACCCCCCTATGCTTATGTAGGTAGTAAATATTAAATCTCAAAGGCGTTACTTATACTATTATAGACCTAATACTACCAAACGAGCAAAGAGTGTGTGGAAAGAGTAACAACATAGATAGCGCTTTTTGATTACTCGATTATTTGTAGGAACGGTAGTGAGGGGGGGTAGTAGGGTAAAAGATATATAGATAATATAATAAATAGAAGATAGAATTGTTTCTACAAGACAGCATAAACATCACTATTAGATGTTGTTACGCCGCCCGTAACATGCTGTTGTTATACCTATACACAGTTCTTGTCTATGCTTAAACTCCAAAAACTAGGCATTTTGCTACATTCGCTGTATCTTTAAAAACCTATACTTAATAATTGTTAGATATACGCACAGACTCTAAAAAATTATCAGGTTTATAAAATGATAGGTAGGTTAGGTTAGGTTTTTTTAACCTAACCTAACTCACTAACCTTCTTCTAACCTCATTAAGGTGGTGAATCCTTTCTTAGTTACACTCAGGGCCACAGCCACACATTATTCTAGGAGGGGCAAGCTCTAATTTTGCCGCCCCTCTTTCCACCACTCAGCCCCAATAATTAACAAATAAATTTCAGTGTTGTTATTACAATATAAGTTTGAGAAAATTCTAAAATATTTAATATTTATTTGGATGTTAAGTGACAAATATGCTATTATACTGTTGTTAAATGATAAGTTAGGTTTTCTGAAAAATTAAGATATAAAAATGCATGCTAAAACTTTTATTTGTATTTCAGGCAAAATATACATAACAAAGCTATTCTTAAAAACTAAAAGTGTATATTAAATATTTATAAAAATTTGATTTTTCTTGATTTTTTGGCTGCAAATGTTTTAATTATTTCTTCAAATGAGATTGATGATGCTCTTTGATGTTCAATTAATATTATACTTAAATTGTTTAATCTTTGTTGTTTCATAGTGTTCCTTAAATAATTTTTTATAAGTTTCAGTTTACTGAAGCTTCTTTCCGCCGAAGCAACAGAGACTGGAAGTGTTAGAAATATTTGTAGGGCTATCGTAATATTTGGGTAGATCTCTTCTAGATGTTGCTCATAAATAACTTTAAAAGTAGACTGCGCTGTCGCATTTCTCAGACTTTTGTCAATTTCAAAGGCATGGAATTTAAAACTTTCTATTTCACTAACAAGCTCTTCTTTATTTAGATCATCCGGGTAACTGTCAGCTAATGTTTTAGCTCTAACTTGTAAAGTTGTAGAATCTATTTCGTTTATTTGAGAACCACTCAAAAAACCAAATTTACTATTAACATCTTTCAATGCATCAAATCTGCTGTTCATTTCACTAAGAATTCTGTCAATTATTTCCATGAGAGAACCTCTGAAAAGTTCTTCCTGTGTTATACCGAATACCTCATCTTCACAGATTTCTCCAGGCATCATCTTTTTTCTTTTTCTTTTTTCTTTAAAGTCAGTTTCTAGCTTTTTTTACATTTTGAATAATATCTTGTCTTATTTTGTCAGCAATTATATCAAGAAATTCGTCTTGAATATCCGATGAAAAATAACTGATCTGCCCTTTCTTATGACGTTCAATATGTTTTTGAAGTGGAACATTGTAGTGGGACAAAAGAGCTATTGTGTTAAGAAATTTTCCACTGCTAGGATTTTCAAAATCACACCTTTCGTTTGTTCCTCTAAAAAGACTCCCTTGCTTTGCTAAATATAAAATTGCATCAACAATACAGTGTAAAACTTCTTTCCAGTGAGTTTCTTCTTTTTGAATTGCGTCTTGGAGTTCTTTGTCTATGCCTCCCATTCCGAGAGATGTTTCTAAAGATTTCCACGTACAAAAGTAATGTTTATGATTGGAAGAATTCTCATGTTCTGGTATTTTGTCACTTAGTTTTTTCCAATTTACTAATCCTTCTTCCTTGGCTAAGGATGACATTTTAGACTCATGTGAAAACATATGAGAAAACATTCTGCAAGAAATGCAGTATAAAGAATTTTTAGTCTCACTGTAAGCTAAAAAAGATCGTTTCACCTTCGATCCATTTTTTAAAACTTTATAAAACCAATCTTTAGTTAGAGTTCGTCCATCTCTTTCACTTTTTGAAAAGTCCGGCGTATAGTTGCTGTCAATCCTCATTTTAGTAATGTAACACCTATCAGTATCAGATAGATATTTTGGCCATGTACCAGGATCGTTAAAATCAAATTGAAAGTCAGGTTCTAGTTTCTTGTTTGAGTTTGTTGAAGTCGATGAGTGTGTTTTTGTTAAAATCGTTAAAGAACTTTCGTAGGAAGGATTAGTAACGCTATTATTTGCTATTAAATTTATTGATGGGTGTTTTAGTATCGAAGATTCTGAAATAGTTGTAACGATAACTTCATTCTGGGAAGTTTCATAAATAGGAATTTCTGCATTCTTATTTTTTTCCATTACATTTGAAGTGGGTGGTACTAAGTACTTTGTAAAAGTGCCTTTTAACTTGATTAGCTCCTTCTCTTTTTTTAATCTATTTTTCCTGTACTCAGCACCAGATAGTTTTTTACGGTCAGCCATTATGATTTTATAAATCTAAAAAAGAGTTTATGCTTACTATTTAACTTGAATACGACTACTAAAATATTTACATTATTTATTTTAGCAAAGTTGGTACCATTTAAAATAATTGTTGGAGAAAATCAATTAATTTGGAATCAATATGTTCTATTGATAGAACGTTTTGTTTTTATAAAAGATAATTGGAAACAAAAAATTCTATCACTAGAACCTTTTGTTTCCAAGCTAGGAATTTTAAAGTTATTTAATATTTTGAGTAATTAAAAGAATTTATTTTTCAAATACCTATTAATAAATCGATAGAACGGAAGTTTGTGGATTTTTTGATGCCAAATATTTCAAAATCGCTTTGGCGAAAATACGATATTTCAATTATTGAACCTTAAAAACGCTCTACTGAACAATTTAGATATTGTCACATAGAACTCTTTGATTCCAAGCCCACGATATGTAACTATATAAACGGTTGGTTTAACGCATGGCTCAAGCCACGTTTTACAACACACTTACGAATTTTTTTACCGTAAATAAATTATAATTATTAAAAATTTTCTTACCGTATTTACAACTCTAAGATGTTGAATATGTAGACACTTTGTACACTTTCACGTCACACGTCAGTCGTCGAATCACGAATCATAAAAATAAATGATTATAGTGTGATCGCGCTAGTACATTAAAAATATAAAATGATAATCAAAACTCATGAACATAGATCTATGTTCACAAACAACCGTACGATCAAAGATAACATTAATGTACTAATTTTTCCCAGAATACGACGATAGCTGCAAAACTACCGATAACATTATATTATTAATTTTTCCCAGAATACGACGATAGCTGCAAAACTACCGATAACATTATATTATTACCTATACTACAGAATAAATGAATTGCAGTGACAAATATTAATTGTATTGTTATTTTGCCATATCAAAAATTGCGGCTTGCGGATACCCGACGTCGACCGTCGTTATTGTGGTATAAATAAATCGGCGGTACGCGCGTATAATTATCGTAGCATTTCAAAGTGTTAGAAAAAAAAAATGTTTTTATATTTTGCCGCCCGGGGCAAAAGACCCCCCTAGCCCCCCCTTAGCTGCGGCCCTGGTTACACTAAAAAAAATCAAAACCAATATTTTTTTAAAACTGGTTTTGCGTAAATATTTGAATATTTCCATTTAACCACCGTGTTTTTGTTAGTTGTTTCCTATTATATTACTTATTAAGCAGGTAATACAAATAGTCTAAACCAAACATTGTAGGCACCAAGAACTAACCTCAATGTTTTTAATATTGGATCAAAATATATTTACTTACAAATATTAGTAATAACCTGAAATGAAATTAATGAGCTATGCTAAAAAGTGAAATGTTGTGATCATAAGCTTCCTATAAGAAATAAAAACACATCTAGTTTTGTATTTAAAATAAATATATATAGTTCACAAATCGATTTAACGTTCTAGAGATCTTTTAAAGATTGGCAAAATGAGTGATGTATTCGTCTTTTTTTATTTCGCGTCTCTATAAAATAGGTAATATAATATGCCAAAAATTCATTTTTCCCCTTTTGTCATCCTTTTATTTCGTAATGTACTCGAAACTTGTGTGAAACGAACTTAATGTTTTCAACGTGAAGATAGATTATAAATGTATATTCAAGGACTGTTGAAGTTATCTTTTGTTGAAATAATAAACTCGCAAACGTATGAATTAAATACACACGAAAGTCGTCGGTCATCAGTTGACGCTTCTTGCGATAGAAATTATATACAATTCTAAACTCGTAATGATTGAGTGGATGATTATATCTATACAAAACATAATATAAGTCGAATAGCACTCACTCGCTAACTCATTTATCGCTACATCTCAAAAAATACCAAACGTACGAACTTAAAATATTTGAAATATTGGTTCTCTAATGATCAGAATTTGCAATAAGAAAGTATTATCCTGAATCTCTAGATTTAGTTGGTTGTTTCTTTTTCATTTCCAGGCGATTGCGCCTGACAGTTCGTTGCGTGTGTCCCGCAGGCGTATTAACAAAGCCTCTATAGCCCCAGCGCCGTACATAAATGCGCGCATTTCATTGGCCCATTTGAATTTCGCGCCAACATATTAATTATTATCAATTATTATCGTTTTTCATTTAAAAATAGTATAATAATAAAAATAGTATAATAATTAAATTATTAAAAATATTGATAATGCTAATTTACTAATTTATTTTTCGTTAATAATTGTTATTTCTATTTAATTAAAAATGTCTTTATTTGAAAATATAATAAGCCAAATGAATGAACATTTCATATGTTTAGTTGGCCTCACAGTTTATTAGTTTAAAAATATTGAAAATAAAAAGTAAATATAATGAGAAAATGATTGTAGTGTAGAGCAGTGTTACTAAATAATTCGTAGATAGCCTATTATTGTACAAAAAATGTTGTAATTTATACTTAAATCATTCAGATCATTAATATAAACAAACTTAAATAAATGTATCAAGATAATTTTCCCCCAAAACAATGTACACATATACTATTAATAATTAGCAGTAGCCACTAAAATAAATTGTTTTCAATACCTAGTTAATATTATTCAGTATGATTAATGGCAAAATAAATTTAAAAATAACGTTTTTAGTTTTGTAATAATATTGTTAAGGCTTTAACAGTTTAGTCATAGTTCAGTTTATTTATGTACATTTTATAATATTTTTAGTTAAAATGATTTTTTTTGTGTGTATGAGATTATTTTGAGTTAATAATTCACATAATAGGGTCATATTTCATAAATACTGGGTATGTCACCATTCAGCAAAGAATAAAACCACAAAAAGTAAAAGAGATGTCACATGCCAAGCATCTTTGGATATATTGCTTAAAAAAAATAATAAAAATACAAAAAAAAATGATGAATATCTAAGAAGGGAACAACCACTATGTGCAGTTATTAATTTAAAATTGAATCACAACCATCCCATAAATTCATGTGGGGCATTGAAGTTACTTAGAGTTCCTAATGAGGTCAGTATGATTATTATTGTTTATTTCTTCAAAAAGATAATGTGTAAATGAATAAATAAATATTTTTATAAGTACCTATACACATACATTTTTTTTTATAAATTGAAGACTCAAGATATATTTCTGTCTTATTTTAACGATGGACTAACAGCAAGTGAAGCTATACATTTGCATGAAAGTAAGCTTATTATTCAGGAAAACTCATGCTATTTGTTGGCTAATGCTTCAATAAACCCAACAAAGCGTCAAGTATATTATCTACATGATGAATGGAGAAAAAAAAATTATGGATCTGTCCATGAACCACTTATGAAATTAAAAGAAAAAATAGAATCATACAAAAACCTAGGTAATAAAGTTAATTTGTTTTATTATATGTATAATTTTAACGTATACATAAAAGTAATATAATAGTTTATAATTAATATAATATTTTAATTTGCATAATAATTCTGGTTTTATAAAGGTGTTACAATTTCTATTCAAGGAGAAGCTACTTGGGCAGTGTTAATTGTAACACCTATTATGGAAAGAGCTCAAAAACTTAAATGCTCTCAAGAAATTATTTTTCTTGACTCCACTAGTAGTGTTGACACCACTAGTAATAGCATAACGGTTATCTTAACACCATCTAAAGCTGGAGCAATACCATTAGCAATACTTATTCATAATGGAGAATCAGAAGAAAGTTACACAAATGCATTTAATTTATTAAAAAATAATTTTCCTCTTTGTTTTGGAGGCAACAGTGTAAGTTATTTTTTATGTTGTCTTATATTTCTTTTATTTTTTATATATTCAGATATAAATCAACCATTATTTAAATACCCCAGTTTAAAAAAGAAAAGTCAAATTTAAATTTTCTTTATTATTATGATATTAACATAAAATGTAATAACGTTATAAAAAATCAACTATTCCCAATTATTAGTAAATACATATTATAGTAGTTAACAACTAATATTATATCATCATTTTTTTAATTTTTTTCATTTAAAATTACTTAGGGATATTAAATCATAATTATATTCAATAAAAATATGTATTTTACAAGTTTTGGAAGTAAGACTTACTTACTAACCTTACTTACTTAGGCTAATCTTGAAAAAGTGTAGTTTAAACAGTGGCTTTTTTATTTATATCAATCATATTATATAGGTACTTATAAATGACAAATTTTATTTAACTCTAGAGTCTAGGGATTGTATCATATCAAAACACTAATGAAAAAGTATTTATAAGTTAATTGTTTAATTATCTGATTAGGTTTTAATTTTGTAATAGTTTTTTTTTAAAAAAATTTAAATTTAACTTTATTATAATAATAGTCATATTAATACTTAATAATACCTATACCTATGCAGGCACCTATGGTTTTTATGAGTGATGATTCTAGAGCAGAGAAAAACTCGTTGAATTCTGTATGGCCTTCTGCTAAGCAATTTCTCTGCCATTTTCACATGGCACAAGCTGAATGGCGTTGGTTACATGATACAAAAAATGGAATTAAGCTAGATGATCGCTGTCCACTAATGAGACTGTTCCAAAAAGTAAAATTCATAATTACCCATGTTTTATGCAATAAAATTAAAATTAGAGTATAATATTACTAATATACAAAGGGTTTGAATTAAATATCTATAAAAAATTGTTATTTTTACTTTAGGTAATGTATGCAGACACCATGTTCGATTTAGAAAACTCGATAACTGAAATTCGTAGCGTGTCTACCAANAATAATAAATTTTAAATTTATTAAAAAATTAATTAAAATATTTAATGTATTAAAAAATTTGAAATAAAAACTATCCTATCTTTTAAGTTGGACCAAATTACACGCGGAGTAAAAAATTTCATCAAAATCGGTCAAGTGGTTTAGGAGTCCATTGAGGACAAACATTGTGACACGAGATTTATATATATTAAGATTTTGTGTAGCTTTTTACTGGAACAGAATTGTAATTA